ATTTGGTGGGATTGGCAGATTCACACTTATTATCTGCACAAGTTATTTTTAACTGGTCTGCATGTCTACGGACAATAAGTCCATCATTTGTTTTTACTTTATAAGACACAGGTCCTGTACATTGAACAATTTGACCTGGTATCCATTTTTCCTTTCTCCCATAATTTCTCAGATACACATTATCATTAACTGCAAATTCTCTTTCAATGGATGATTTGTCATGATTTACTTTTGTGTATGTTGATGTTGGGAAACAGACCTTTGAACAGTTGGATGTAGTAGGTCAAGATGAGTTTTAATTTTCCTACCACATAGCAATTCGCATGGTGCAACATCTGTTGTTATATGAGAAGTTGTGCGGTATTTGGCCAATAACCTGTTTACTCTTTCATTGTCACCTTTAGCTTCTTCTGTTTGGTATTTACTTTTGATGTTACCCTTTTAGTTTCTTTAAGTGCTAATGATGTTAGCAAAGTTGTTTGATGATCACATTCCTTCTTATTTAAAGCATTTGAAATTGCCATATCACCATAATCATTTATTAAGTTACAAATACTTTGTTTAGGCAACTCTGACTGATAATGGACTGCATCTTCTCCATCTTTTATATTATCTTCACAAAGGTTTTTATTTCTTATTTTATATGGCCTTAAGTCATCATTCACAGACTCTTCAGGCCAACCATTCTTACAGTACTCATATACTTTTATTAAGCACTCATCTTTTTGTGTTTCTCTTTTAATATCATTCACATTTATATTGGAGTTATCCATGATAGTGAAGAGAACAAATACATCTTCTGGTACATAGCTCAGGCTTTGGTTTTTTAAAGGTAATCTACTCAGACTATCTGCACTATTCTCAGATCCAGGTTTGTATTTCAATTCATAATTGTATGCAGTTAGTGTGATAGCCCATCTTTGAATTCTTGGTGAGGCATGCTCAGGTAGGGTTTTGTTTTCTCCAAATAAACCTAGCAATGGTTTATGATCTGTAAAGATGGTGAACTTCCTACCAAACAGAAACTTATGAAATTTCTTAACACCAAAAATGATGCCTAAGCCTTCCCTATCTAACTGAGAATAATTTTTCTCAGCCTGGTTCAAAGATCTACTGGCAAAAGCAATGGGTCTGTCACCCTTCTCATCCATGTGGGACAAGACTGCTCCTACACCATCTGGTGAAGCATCACATGTTAATATAAGTCTTTTCCCTGGGTCATAGTGAGTTAGTAAGGTGTCAGAAGACAAAGCCTCTTTTGCTGTATTAAAAGCAGCTTCTTGTTGTTTACCCCAGTGCCAAGTTGCATTTTTCTGTAGCAGCTTGTACAGTGGTGATAGTTTACCAGACAGATTCCCTATGAACTTTGCATAGTAATTTATCAAGCCCAAAAAAGCTCTTAGTTGTTGGGTATTTTCAGGTTTGGGTGCTTCTTTAATGGCTTTTGTTTTCTCAGGTTGAGGTCTGATACCTTGCTTGCTTAATATATAACCAAGAAAACTAATTTCTGTCAACATGAATTGACATTTATCTTTGTTTATCTTTAAACCTTTTTCACCAACAATTTTCAATACTTTATCAAGTGTTTTAAGATGTTCAGTGTCATTCTTACCAGTTATGTACACATTGTCAAAGTACACACAAACATTTGGAATATCCTTAAAAATACTGTCCATGACAGCTTGGAAAATTCCAGGGCTAGATGATATGCCAAAACATAGTCTTTCATATTGGTAGAGTCCTTTATGTGTGTTTATTGTCGTATAGACTTTTGAATCTGGATGCAGTTCTAGTTGAGTGTAAGCATGACTAAAGTCTAATTCAGTGAATTTGTCTCCTCCTGCCAAATTCAAAGAAATTTCCTCAATGTTAGGTATAGGGTACCTATTTAGCTCTATTTGCTTATTCAGTGTAGTTTTATAATCTCCACAAATTCTTATAGAACCATCCTTCTTTAACACTGGCACAATGGGCGTTGCCCAATCGGAATAGTCTACCTTCTTTATGATGCCATTAGATTCCAATCTACTTAGCTCATTTTCAATTTTATTCCTCATTGCATAAGGTGGAACTCTAGCTTTGCAGTATCTTGAATTTGTGTCTTTAATGCTTATCTTCACTGTTCTATCATTTAGTAAACCTGAATTGCCAAAAACACTTTTATTTTCAGATATTACTTTATCTAGTGAAGTAAGACTAGATTCTTTTCCATTGGTCAATGAACAAATACTCTCCCAATTTAACTTAAGATTACTTAACCAGTTCCTACCTAGTAATGGTGGTCCATTTCCTTCAACCACAAGAAGAGGAAGTTTAACACTTTGACCATTATAACTTACATGAACCATACACTCTCCTATTACCGGAACATTGTCACCAGTGTATGTTGTTAGACACTTGTGACATGGCTGTAGAGGCACTGATCCTCCTGTGACAGCGTCAAAATCTTTCTTTGTTATGACTGTTAGAGATGCTCCAGTGTCAAGTTGGAAGCTGATGCTCTTACCGTTGATATAAACTGGTACATTGATGGGAGCATGACTTATTGATTTCACAGAGAACAGGTTGAAATCCGGCTGCGAATCAGTTTGAGCATTTTCACAGGTAGAGTGGTTCATTGGTTGGGTTAGGTAGTCTTGGTGAGAGTTAACATAGTGCTGCCTTTGGTTGCGGTACTGTCTTGACTGGCTAGATTTAGCAACAGACGAAGACTTTGCAAAGCAGGCCTTGGCAATGTGACCTTGCTTACTGCACTTATAACAAGTTGCAGACTTGAACTTGCACCGATGAGATGCATGGGGACCTTTGCATCGATGACATTTTTGATAATTATTACTAGATTTAGATCTAGGCTTTAAACGTGCAGGCTGTTTAGCATAAGTTGGAATGCTCTGATGGGGTTGGTGTTTGTTGACTAACCTGCTGTTTACTGCATGGATCTCTGAAGGTGCTAAAGATCTCGCCGCATCAGATGACTGCTGGAATGAAGTTGCAAGTTGTATTGCTTTTTCCAATGTTAGATCTGACTCGAGCAGCAACTTTCTTTGAATATCAGGGCTGTTTACACCTGTCACAAACTTTTCACATAGTCTGTCAGACAGCGTTTCTCCAAATTCACAGAATCTACTTAAATGACGTAGAGCAGCAACATATTCTGATATTGACTCGTTTGGCTGACGAGTCCTACTGTCAAATCTAGCTCTACATAGAAACTTTGATGGGGTAGGCGCATGGTGGTCTGTTAGCAATTTGCTCAGCTCGTTAAAGCTCTTGGTAGTTAGACTAGCTGGTGCGCATAAGTCTTTTAGTAGCCTAAATTGTTGAGGCCCTATGACTAATAACAAAATAGCTCTCTTTTTGGCTTCTATCGTCACGTCGTTAGCTTCAAGGTAAAAGCTTAACCTATCTAGGTAATCTTGAATGATTTCATCATTCGAATCAAATTCTTTTATTTGGCCATACAGCGCCATTATTCTAGAAATACTTAGCTAATAAGCTCTAGCAAACCTCTTTTTACGTAATTAGGTGCTCTTTCTAGTGGATTATTTATCCTTCGTCGCCAATGTGATAGATTGTAATCACTGACGAGGAGCCACATTCGTTGTTAACAGTCTTTATTTACAGCCATGACGGAAAGAGGAAGAGGAAGTACGATATACAAGGGACATCACTCAAGATAACAATATAAATATAATACTAATACAGAAGAGTGAGTTCCCTTGACCTCACAATTATCTCAATCTATTACAGATGTGTACAACCAGTTCTAGTTTGCAACAACGCAGATAAGCTATAAATACAATTTATATGGTGCTTTGTTGTTTGTTTTTTGTTCTTTTTTTTTTGCATCATTTTTTGTCCCCTCACCATTGTTGTAGTGGTATGGCCCCTTGACAACAACTGCTTCAATATGTTTTTATTGATCTAAGAGCAAAGTAGGCCAATAAATAGATCTACATATAGATCTAATTCATTCGGACGAAAAACTGGGCTAAGATCGAAAAAACTCTTGGTTGTCTAATCTAGTTTTATTTTTATACTGTTTAAAATTATTTGTTTTTTTACAGGTCTTCCTCCGTTCATTGTCATCAGGGGAGATCAATAGTTTCGGTGCCCAGATCTTTATTTTTCGAGTGATGTCCCCTTGCTTTCCACTTTGTTGTTGGGGTAAACATAACAATGGGTCTAGATCTAGGTCACTCTCCAGGATGCAGTAGCATGACCGGTTGACAGTCACTAGACTCTAGAGTCAGTATGTTTGTGAAAACTAAATTACTTCAAGACTTTTTGTTTAGTTTAATTTTAAGCCTAGCTGGACTAAAAAAAGTTTTATTTTTTAAATTTTATTTTCTCGTATCCGTATAATTTAGGGTCGGTAGCGGTATAACTATTGGCTCTACTAATGATAATGAATGAGGCATGATGAGGCCTAATGAATGAATGTCATACCTACTGACGAATGTCAATATGTACTGTACTAACTAGAACTAGACAGAAGAGAAAGTATTAGTAGAGAGTCTATTTAGTATTACTATTTGTATTTACTATTTAGCCTAGATCTAGTATTTACTATTAGTATTGTAGTGCCTAATCGTGCAAAACAAACGAAATCGAGATTTACACAAATCTCTGCATATTACACCTGCCTGAGCGTGAGTCGGAAAACTGTTGTGATTTAACTGTAAGCTGTTCTGTATCGATTTTGACATTTTCGATATATGCTAGCAATGTTTCTTCCAGACTTTTTTCTCCGGGGGGGGGGGGGGGCACTTAAAATTTTCGGTGGGGTGGTAGACTTTCTTTGGGGGGGGGGGGAGGGCGGACACTGTTAAAAGTATATATTTTCTATATAAATTATATAAATTTCATTTCGTTCGGGGGGGGGGGGGGGCGGTAAAAATGTTTCACCCCCCCCCCCCCCCCCCCCCCCCACCGAAGAGATGCCTGGAAGAAACTCTGTATGCTAGCCTTTTTCTGTCTTGTTCTTTTTTCAGGATGATGTAGATGATTATGTTTTTGTAGGAACAAAAATATATTTGAGTATTAAAATGGCAGCAAACCAAAAAAGACGTAAGTATATGATAACTCTAGGGCAGTGATTTCTAAACTACTATTCTAACTTCAAATTAAAATTATAATGTTTTAGTTTTAACCTCATCATAAGAATACAAAAGTTCATCATAGGATCATTACTTGGTACCCTTATTAGCAAAGTGTATGTCACTGTGTATTGTAAATGTAAAACTAATTTGTGGGGGGAAAAAGGTCTAGTAGTTGGCAGCATTCTTAGGAGTAAATCCATTTCTTTTATATAATTACTCCCAATACATTAATCATTATATATTATTGTGTATTATTAATATAAATATTCCTCTCTACAGCCCCTCTAAAAAAACATGTATCGTCTTTTCATATACCAAAGTCTCCATTACATTCAGGGGAGTTGAAGGTGATGTTTTAAATATTTTCTTTGTTTAAAGGAATTGATAAAATACCCTGACTAAAATTGAATGATGATATTCTTACCATGTAATAATAAACTTATATTATCATATCAACAGCTGTCCAAAAATGGCAAGACACCTAAAGAAACAGAAAAAAATCTGGGAAAACTGAGGTATAAAAAACACGCTGAGCATAAAAGTACTAATGCTATTAATTAGTTTACTTTTGTTTTCATTAATGATGTCTGTTTGATATGGTAGCATAAATAATTTATGTTTCACTTATTAATTCAGGTTTTATATTTATTAAATTACAATTATTTTGTTCTTAACTGTATTGATAGTAAAAATATTTAACATTTAAGTTATTTACTTCATTACATTACCTCAAACTCATCTTTTTCAATGAATTCCAGAATTTATTTTCACACTAAAATTACTATCTCTTATCTGTTGTTTTTAGACCACCATTGGCAAAAAGCAAGCAACAACCTGTGACTACAACTGGAAAAGCCACAGGTCTATAGGCTGAGTTTGATAGTTTGATGCTTAAAACAATAAAGAAATCATAAATAAATTATTTTATTTTAAATTCTTTTGTTACAATCGGTAAGGTTTAAATATTTTTAGGTAGAATTCATATTCGTACAATGGTAAGATTTAAGCTTGTGTTTTTAAATTATTTTTATTTCAATGATGAATAGATAAAAGCAAGTTAGACCTTTACAAGGCAACTGAAGAGATATTTGACTTTGTCCTGGAGGGCAAGTTGACAGTGTTACCTCCCCTCCCAAGGTCCACTGTCAGGATATTCCTTAGCTCAACCTTCTCAGACATGAGGGCTGAGAGAAACGCCCTGGCTAAAGACGCCTACCCCAGGCTGAGGGACTACTGTGCACAGCTAGGTTTGGGCTTTCAGGTGGGTACAGCAGCATCTTAATTGTTGGATTGGTTGGTGCCGTGATGCTGTTTTTGTAGTGGTGAGAGGCATTGCTTTGATTCTTTTGATTCTGTACGTAACTCTCCAGCATTTAGATTTGTACCCCCCCCCCCTATCCTGCCACTATTTCCAGGTTGTTGACCTGAGGTGGGGTGTAACAGCTGAGGCCACAAACAACCACATGACCACCAACATTTGCCTGTTGGAGCTGGAAAATTGCCAGAAAGTTTCTGTTGGCCCAAGCTGCATTGTAAATAGTTTTTTTCATTCATCATTTGATTTGTTTATTGTATAAAGTTGCTTAACTTATGTTTGTCATTCATCATTTGGATTGTTTATTGTTGTAAAACTTATGTTTGTCATTCATCATTGGATTGCTTAATTTTTATTATTTCAAAACTTAAGTTTGCCATTCATCATTTGGATTCCTTAATTTTTATTATTTCAAAACTTAAATTTGTCATATTTTGCTTGACCATAATGATTTTTCAAATTATATATTTTAATAATATTTTTGGATTTTATAAATTATAAAAATATATAGGCCCTACTAAATTTTAATTTATAACAATTTGCTGATATTAAATTATATTTTTCCCAATTAAAATAAAACTATGTTAAAAATCTGATGCTCTTACTACTATTTTTAAATCAAACAGGCAATAATCGGCAACCGCTATGGGTATTGTCCTCTTCCATTTGAAATAAGTGATGAAGAGTTCCAGATTTTAAAATCTGAAGCGTTACATCTTCAACTGACAGAAGTATTCTCATTGGTTGAGACCTGGTATAAGAAGGATGAAAATGCCATCCCAGCGGCATACTACTTGCAGGTAATGTTACACCTTGCAGGTAATGTTACACCTTGCAGGTAATGTTACACCTTGCAGGTAAGTTTGTGGTTTGCACCTAACACAGTGAAATCTGAAACATTGAATATAAACAGGAAACAGAAATTTCGCAAAACCTGGATCCTTGTTAACACAAACCCATAAATATTCAATTATCATTATCTACGTTATTAACAGCTAAGTGTACCAGTAAAGAAAATAGTCTACTTTGTGACTCACATGAAATGAACTACTGACTTCCTTAGCACAAAGGCATGAGAATAACAAAAATCTACTGCTAGTAAACACATATAGGTCATTAATCACAGCCACAGCACCATTTTATACCTTCTATACCTGTAATGAGAGAGGTGATAAACAATAGATTGTTTTTATTGAAAATTGGAAAATATATAAAAAGCTGGTAGATAATTTTATAGCATCTACTGATTGCATTTAAATGGGGGGTTTTAAAAAGTTAGGACATGTTTTAGATTGTTTAATATTTTTTCTCTGCAGCCAATATCATCACAGCTGCCTTACTTCCTTGATAACTCTTCAAACCTGAAAACAGAAAAGTTGAGCCATCAGCAAACATGGGCAAAAACAGAGGCTGAGATGTTGGAGACTATTCACAGATGTGCCGTGTCAGCTTGGGAAAATAAGAAAATATCCACAGCGAGAAAACATTGCTATCTCATGTCAGGTGAGATTTATATCTCATGTCAGGTGAGATTTATATCTCATGTCAGGTGAGATTTATATCTCATGTCAGGTGAGATTTATATCTCATGTCAGGTGAGATTTATATCTCATGTCAGGTGAGATTTATATCTCATGTCAGGTGAGATTTAATTTATATCTCATGTCAGGTGAGATTTATATCTCATGTCAGGTGAGATTTAATTTATATCTCATGTCAGGTGAGATTTATATCTCATGTCAGGTGAGATTTATATCTCATGTCAGGTGAGATTTATATCTCATGTCAGGTGAGATTTATATCTAATGCCAGGTGAGATTTATATCTCATGTCAGGTGAGATTTATATCTCATGTCAGGTGAGATTTATATCTCATGTCAGGTGAGATTTATATCTCATGTCAGGTGAGATTTATATCTCATGTCAGGTGAGATTTATATCTCATGTCAGGTGAGATTTATATCTCATGTCAGGTGAGATTTATATCTCATGTCAGGTGAGATTTATATCTCATGTCAGGTGAGATTTATATCTCATGTCAGCTGAGATTTATATCTCATGTCAGGTGAGATTTAGATCCACAGCGAGAAAAGATTTCGATATCCTGTTAAGTGATTTTTTGGACCATTATCAGGATAGCTTTGTGATCTAATGTCAAAACACTAATGAAGCAATTTAAAAATAGCGTAGATTTAAATCTGTTGAGTAATTAGATTAATTCAAAAAAAGAAAGAAAAATATAAATTTATATTAATTAAATATGCGACTATGTAAAATTCATTTCAATTAGGCCTATTTAATTCAACATATTTAAAAAAAATAATTTTGACAATAGGAAAATATTGAAACACTAGTACCTCCATCTTGATGATATATCAATGACCAGTAAAGTAATGTTATAAGATTACAGAATGACTCTAGAGTCATCCAACATTGATAGCAAAAAAAAACTAAAAAATAAATTAGAACCAATATTTCGATAAACCACTTTTTTTATTTGTAGATGTGTGCAACACTAATTTGGAAACTAAAGCTTTATAGCAGTATTTAATTCACACAACCTTTTTAATAAAAAAAATTTTAATTTGTTTCCTGGTTATGTTTTCAATTCAAATTTTAAGATAACAGTACTTATTCCATTTTTAATTTTGATTAAAATAATTTCTCCCCATAAAAAACACAATTTTTCTTTGTTTGTTAAGTATACAATTTTTACAAATTTTATTAATAGTATGATTATGTTAATGGTATGTTACATACTGCTTGAGCCTTACTTTCTTGATTATGTTACGTACTGCATGAGCTGTACTTAATTGACTTTTCTACCAGTGACTGAGCACGAAGCACGGAATGGAATAATTCAGGCTAAAGACCCCAACAGCCATGGTCTGGTGTTCCTCAGAGAGCTGGAAGGTTTAAGCCCACAATCCTACGCTGATGTTGGGGCTGCCAGGCACAAGGATCTTGTTTCTGTGGAGGGCCAAGTAATTCCATTTGTTTTTATTGCACTGTGCACTGTATCATAAATTTCCTAAGATTGCATCCATTACATTTTATAAAGATAATATTGTTTGAAACACTCAAAAATTCAAAATATTTATTTTTAATTTAGTAACATTTTAACTTGTGATGGATCAACTCACTTTAAAAGTATTTTGTACAATTAAAATAAATGGTAGTAATTAAAATATTTTTTTAAGACATAAATTCAGTGTTTATCCTGTTTTTTCCTCTGACTGTAGCTACAAGCTGACCAGCAAGCTGACCAACTGATCTCAGGGTTTAAGAAAGATCTACAGAGCTCCCTCCAGTCCTCTAATGTCAAGTCCTACACAGTCCCCTGGGTAGCTGGGGGACTACAGCCTGAGACCATCCAACATCACAGCCAGTACCTCAACCAGTTCTGTCAGGACTTTGTGTCTGGCGTCCAGCAACTCATCCAGGCTGACATGCAGGCTATGGAGGCGTTGATCAGACAGCAGGAATATTATTCCCTCTACAGCGAAGTCTTGCACCACGCCCACTTTTGTAGACTCAAGTGCCAGACTTTCTGTGGGCAGCAGGACTCCCTCGACTTAATCAGAGACTACATCCTAGACCCCAGCAACCGCAAGCCGTTTGTTATCTTTGCCCAGTCAGGGCTGGGTAAAACCTCTCTTCTAGCCATGGCCATGAACCTTCTGGGCAGTTGGATCAAAGACAAGCACATCGGTGTCATCCAGTTTCTGGGCACCTCTGCCCTCAGCACCAATATCTACAACGTGTTGTTTAATGTTTGTGGGCAGCTGGCTGACATCACAGAGAGCATCATGGAGCCGCAGTGCTACAGGTCCATGAAAACTCTTGTGGCCTACATGCCCAGGTTTTTCCGGACAATCGCCTCCATTGTCAAACAGCCTGTTGTCATTTTCCTTGACTCCCTCGACCAGCTGTCAAGCCAGCATGACGCCCACACAATGTGGTGGCTACCATCCAACCTACCACCTAATTTTAAGTTGATTGTTTCAACATTGCCTGACCGCCATGGAATTCTAGACAACCTAATTCCTCTCATTTCCCATAAAAAGAACTTTGTGGAGATGCCATTCCTTCCAGACTCGACCAGCAGCCAGATAGCCGCCAGGTACCTGGGACTGAGGCGCAGACGAGTCACAGACCAACAGATGATGTTGTTGCTGGAGAGGTTGAGAGCATCTCCCAGCCCGCTGTACCTGAAGCTTCTCCTGGACCAAGCTGTCCTGTGGAGCTCCCACACCCCAGTGTCGGAGCTGGTTCTGCCAGACTCTGTCAGGGTGGGCATCAGCCACATGTTTGAGAAACTGGAAGTCAAATTTGGGCAAAGATTTGTCCAGGCTGCGCTTGGTTTGATCAGTGTTGGCTTGAATGGGCTCAGTGAGATTGAGCTAGAAGATGCTCTGTCCTGTATGGATGACGTCATGGTTGAGATCTATCAGTTCCATGACCCCCCAGTCCCAGGGATGGTGCGGATCCCCCCGGTCATGTGGGCCCGGCTTCGCTTTGACCTCAAAGAGTACCTGGTTGAACGGTTAGCCCAGGGGCAGACAACTTTATTTTGGTATCATCGTCAGTTTGTTGAAGTTGCATCAGAGCGCTATACTTCTGGAATTACAGGTCAAAATCTCCACAAAATCTTGTTTGAATATTTCGCTGCTGAGCATGGTGTGAAGAGAGACATTGTTCTGACTGAACGAAATAATCTCTTCATCCCCAACGCTGACAGAAACACCAGCCCACAGCCCATGGCCCCATCGAACATTAGAAAACTAGAGTGTTTGACTTACCACCTCAAAAGTTGTACGTCCCTGCAAGATCCTAACTTTGCTAAACAAGTTACGTACTGTAACTTCCACTTCATCCGGGCCAAGATTGCCACCGTGGGAGCTGAGAAACTGCTCCTGGAGCTGGAGGAACAGCTGCAGCTGGTCAGGGACTCTGAGCTGGAAAAGATGGTCGCGTTTATTGGGACGTGTTCAGCAGCTCTGAAAGACCCCGTGGGGTGTGCCTTCAATGTGCTTGCCCACATCAGTACCTCCCCACAGCTTCCTAATCTAAATCTTCTAATAGCTGAGTCCAGGAGTTACCTCAAGAACTTGTCCAGGACTTTGCTTATCCCAACTTTTGCTTGTCTGGCACCAAGAGGCAGTGAGCCAGAAAAAGTGTATAATGGACTCGTCCATGTGAAGGGAAGAAGAAATGAGACAGTCCTCTTTGCCAATGAATGGTGCCCTGCCCCCTCCGACCAAGAATCAAAAGATGCTTCAGTCACTATAGGTCTGGTTGATATGAAGACAACAGACGTTAGCTATCATCCTCTGGAGGGGGTCAGTTCTGAACTTTTCTTGACCGCTGATGGAAAGGCCTTAATTTTCTTCTCTGCTGAACACGCAGCTCTAGTCAAACTGCAGACTGATACAGGGACACAAACTCTGCACACGCTGAAAGATCTACTCAACGGTCAGGGACCTCACGTCAAACAAGCGCACCTGTACCACGCTTTAGCTTGCACATCAGAAGATTTGAAGCACATTGCGATCTCAGTGGGTGATGTGGTAGCTGTTGCAGACTTGCAGGACATGCGCCCCGTGGCACGGTACCAGCTGCAACACACAGCGCATGTCACCAACCTCCACTGCTGCTCTGGTTCACCGCTCACCCTCATCCTCACACAGGTCAAGCACACTCACTCTCCTGGCGCCATCACATTTTTAGACATACTCAAAAGGGAAGTGACTCATTGTACTGAAACAACTTTTGAAATTTTACCAAGATGTTCCGCTGTTACTTTAAATGGAGAATCTCATGTTTGCTATGGCAACAATCCAGATGGAAATGTTATATTGTTGAGTAAAATCAAACCAGCAGGGACTTATTTGAAGATTGATATAAAGAAACAAATCAATGGGATGGAGGTCTCTAGTGTAGATCAAGACATATACTTTCATATAGGGGACTCAGAAATCCAAGTTTTGAATGCTGAAACACAAGGATGGACACGGACATTGGAGCATGGAATAGATATTTGTTGTTTTGATGTGTCCTGGGATGACAAGAGATTGCTAGTAGCTGATGTCAGCAACACTATAACTTTGTATAACAAGCAATTTGATAAACTTTTTACAAGGCATGAAAGTTGTAGTGGAATAGATTACATTGCTGTTTACCATAGTCATGTGGTAGTTCAGATAAGTGGCGTGGTGAAAATTTGGAATGAAAAGGAATTGTTCAAGGTGTCAGTGCATGAAGAAACTGCTACAGAAAGTGCGTCCATGCAGGTGTTGCACCAACAAGATGACGTCACGTGTTTTCTGATCTCTGAGAGGGAAGAGCTCTTCACTGCGGGTCAAAATCAGATTTGTCGTGTCTGGTCAATGAAGGATGACTCTTTTGTCAGGGAGTTTAATCTTGGTCTGGCGCCAACTGAGATGATGATGGCAGTGCATGATGTTCTGGTTGCCTTCTGTGAGAAAACAAAAAGACTTGTAGCTGTTAAATCAAAGAACGGGGAAGTCCATCACTACTTTGACAGTCATGTGTTTTGTTTTACACTGACTAAAGACAAAAACAAGCTTGTCTTCCTCACAAAAGAAAAAGTATGCAGCATTCATGTATACGACATAACGACCAACTCATTAATTAAAAAATTTAACGTTGGTATTCATTTTCCGTTTTTAAGTGCACGTCTTTTGATGTCTGTCTCTGAAAGGTATGCTGTGTTTATGCTGGAGGTCTCGCAGGAGGAGATTGATGCCATCACAGCCATGAGGAACAAAGGCACCCAGCTCCCAGCACAACAACACCCCCACAGGTTCCTGGCTGTGGACCTGACCCAGGGGACTGGCGCCCCCATGCATGTTTATCACCGTCTGTCCAAAGTTCCGCAGCTGGGGGTGACGGTGGAGCCGTACAAGGGTAACATGGTGATGGTCTCCACCAGACGCTGGGTCTTGTTCTGGGACATCCCAACAGGAAACTGTGATCACATGATGTGCAAGTCCCCTCGGCAGACTAAAATGTACCGTCCTGATTGGTTGGGTCAGGAGTGTGTGGGTAGTAATGATGTCATCACCATGTCAAGATGCAGGAAGTATGTTGCTGTAGGCTCCAGGGATGGGTATCTGTTCGTCTATGATGGGGAGACTGGCATGCCAGCAGGGATGAAGGCGCCAGCATCAAAGCACCCATCACCAGTAAGTTTAACAAGCTAATGCCCATGTATTCAACTTTTATTTTAGAGATGTTTTAAATTTTTCTTTTATTTCTTTCTGAATATTATAATCTTTGTTAATATTTTTAATTTCATCAAGGTATGTAACCCTTTAAAGAAATATTCACTGATTACAATTACCAACATACTAAAAAAAAATGTTTTTAAATAATTTTGTTAGAATAAGTTAGAAAATGTTCTAATTGCATCTAATTAAAAAGAAGTTTTGAAATATTTTTAAAAAATTTAATTTTGTTAGAATAAGTTAGAAAATGTTCTAATTGCATCTAATTAAAAAGAATTTTTTAAATATTTTTTAAAAATTTAATTTTGTTAGAATAAGTTAGAAAATGTTCTAATTGCATCTAATTAAAAAGAATTTTTGAAATATTTTTTTTAAATTAAATTTTTCCCTCAACCTTCAGGTCAACCAAGCCTGCTTCAATCAGTCGAGTACTTTAGTTGCCTCCTCCTGCACAGGCGGCCATCTTAAGCTGTGGGATCCCAAGACAGGCAACTCTGTCTTCTCCATCTCTGTGGGGTTGGAGTTGCAGCACTTGGAATTCTCTCCTAAGGGGCACAAACTGGTGGCAGTAACAGCTGAAGAGAAAAGTCGAGTCCTTGTTTTTGATGTGCAGTACATTCTAGGATAAACAGTAATGAATCAAATTCATTTAAATCAACAACAAAATAGTTATCTCTCTATAAAACAAGATTGATTAGCTCTATTTGTAGAGGGAAAAAAAAGAGGAAAAAAATTCATTTAAGGAAACGTTTAGTGGAATTTTAAAAAATGTTCATTTTATCTATCATTTACAGTAATTTTTTGCTTTCTACCTTGAAAAACGTGAAAACACTATTTTTAGTGTGGTACTTCATTCTGTTCCTTTTTTTCAAGGTGGTTAGCTACATAAAATATTCATTTACACAAGATTTTCAGTTACATAGTATGGGCAGCTCCATATTGTAGCTATTTTAATATATAATTGCCTAGCTATTTAAATGTATAAGTGACAGCTATTTTAATGTATAACCGATGACTTTTTGAATGTATAACTGATGTCTATTTGAATGTCTGCTGTAAATTGGCTTCCCCCCTCAGGTTTTAACTAGTGGAGAAAAAGTAAATATGAAAATATTTTAATGTATTTTTTACAATTTAAACTAAGTAGTAGAAATATAACTCCAGAACTTGTGATGCCTGAAAATGTTTTTAAAAAGAAGTTATAAAATACCTTGTTGCTCAGTTTAAGATTATGTTCAATTAGTTTCTGTTGACTTAGTGTAATCTGTGATATATATGGGCAGCTTTGGACAGTTCATTGGTGGTGATATTTTTACCTTTTGTTTTTATTGTACACGCTCAATTTATTGTGCTTTCAGATTAAGCTTGTGAATTATAAATTTTTAATTATAGGTCTATTTAATTGTTATTCGTACATACTGGTAATTTTATATGTGTTTTCTCATACTAAGAATTTCTACCTTTTTATGTGCTGAATTTTGTAATATATTAAATAATTTTTTTTATTTATAATTATATATATATAATGTATATATATATATATATATATATATATATATATATATATATATATATATATATATATATATATATATATATATATATAATAAATCTATGATCCATAAAATATGTCCCAAATTATCTTGTCAAGCCCTTGATAAACAAATTATAAAAATAATAAAGGAAACTTAATTTTTGACTAATCACTACCTCATTGGGGATGAGGTGGTCGAATGCTAGAGCTCACAACTGCTAATCCAAAAGTCTTGAGTTTGGATCCTCGTCTAGAGTCCTTAGAATTCCCTGGGCACACCCAGCTCTGATGGGTCCCTGACTTAAGGGAAATAATATGGCTAGCCATAGGGTTGACCACACCATCCACCTGTATGTTGTGATAGTTAAAACAGTTGAGATCTACTTTATCTGCCTTATGTGTATTTGGGCATGAACAGTAAAAACATTATTACCTCATTGTATTGATATTATTTTTACTTCTGCCTGATCACGTTTTTTATAGGTGTAATTATTTTAAATTCTAATGTATAGATTATGTTCGGATTATACAGAAATAAGTTTTAACTTTGTTTTAGATCATTTACACTCTAGTTAATTAAAATATTCTAGATATAATACAATCTTTAATTTGATCTATTCGGATATAATTAATGTTTAGCTCAACGTATTTGTATACTTTTTTTTAATGTATACCTTTTACAAATTTAATAAGAAGCATAATTAAACATTAATGATCTCTGAAATGTTTTTTTGTTTTCCATTGTTTGTGATCCATGTTAGGAAGTTATTGGAAAGAAACTAAAACAAAATCATAATTAATTTTCAAAAATAGATTAATTAAGAGTAATAATTATGCTAGATGCACCATAAAACAGACTACAGTAGAACCTATTTGGGTACATTTTAAAAACTGTTAAAGTCAAGGTACGTAATCGTTGTTCAGCACATCATACAACTATTGCATTACTTCCCCTAGACCTCATATTTTCGAGTAGTTCAAACCTTCGACAGATGTTTTCTCAATCGAACTAGCCAAGTTAACAGTAACCCAACAGATGAAAGCCGTGTTGGTTAAGCTGGTTTTTATTTGGTTTTAATTGTTTTAGAACTTCAAACACAAAGGATCTCTGATTCTTATATAGGTCGAGATGAGGCTTGTCCTGGGGGGGGGGGGGGGGGGGGTAGGCGGAAACAACCGCATTTACTGTCATCCGATGTCTTAGTGGGGAATACTATCTGGAAAAACTAATCGGAGGGGGGGGGGGGGCTTTTCAATTTTGTTCCTTTAGTAGAGTTTTCGGGACAGATTGGGGATTGTTGGTGCGATTTGCTTATTCTACATACAATAGAAATATATGGAAAAACCAATTGAATCTCCTCTCAACACAAACTTTCTAGCTGGTTACGCCACTGCAAGACGACACGCTTTTTAAGATGGCAGCACAACCCCCCCTATATTGTCACAATCATCCTTTTCGTCCCTCTCCCACCCCCGCCAAATAATGTCACAAGCTATGGTACAATGATTCCCCCACCTCGACTTATACAATTAAATGTTACAAAAAATTCCAACTTATCTCGTAAGTAGGCCTACTTTAAATATAAATCTCCGTGACTTTAAAAAAGAAAAATGTGTATGACGTCATTAAATAAAGACCCCCCCTCCCACCCTCGCCTTGCTAATTTAAATTAAATGAATTTCCTTTCATCAAGACAGAAATATTTCACAAATTGACAATTTCGAATAAAAATGACTCCCTAACTTTAAATAAAACACGTTTAAAATATTTGCCAGTGTTTAAATGTTTACATTATAAAAAAACAAACAACAAACCATTGAGGTTTTGTAATGGCCTTCTGCTGGGTCCGCTCTAGTTGCATGTGTTATAGACATGTCCAGTGTTAAATTGGTTTTTTAGCTTTCCCTCTTCACGTAAATTGGAAGGAATTCATTGCGTTTTTCTGATTCGCATTAGACTTTCTCTTAAAATAGAGATCAAAGAATGGAGGTTTTTTGTTGATAAAATTGAAATCTTTGTTGAAACTTCATTTGCTGTATTCACAGCCTGCAACAATTACATATGTATAACTGTAAACCCATATATATAAATACAAATATATATATAAATATAAATATATATATATATATATATATATATATATATATATATATATATATATATATATATATATATATATATATATAATTCATTACAATAGCCTGTTTATGCATGGATGGGATCAAAACAGTATAGCCTCGTATTTGTTTTATGAGGTATTAGGTCATACAATTGTGTCCACCTAGATGTATGCTGTCATGGTGTCCACTTAGATGTATGCTGTCATACAATTGTGTGTCATACAATTGTGTCCATTTAGAGGTATGCTGTCATACCATTGTGTGTCATACAATTGTGTGTCATACAATTGTGTGTCATACAATTGTGTGTCATACAATTGTGTCCATTTAGAGGTATGCTGTCATACCATTGTGTGTCATACCATTGTGTGTCATACCATTGTGTGTCATACAATTGTGTGTCATACAATTGTGTGTCATACAATTGTGTGTCATACAATTGTGTGTCATACAATTGTGTGTCATACAATTGTGTGTCATACAATTGTGTGTCATACAATTGTGTGTCATACAATTGTGTGTCATACAATTGTGTGTCATACAATTGTGCTTACCTAGAGGTATGCTGTCATAACTTTGAAGTTTGAGCAGTACAATACAATTTGATGAATGTAAATTCTTTGTGTGTGACGTCAGCTCAAATTTGTTGCAGACGATCAATGCTGTTTCCTAAGCACGTGCGGGAAGATAACAAGCAGACGACATTAGCGAAGCGTGACGTGTCAGGCCGACAAAGACACAAGGTGAGTGTGGGGGAGAGGTTGGGGGGAGGGGCTGGGCTTGGGGGGGGGGCATACAGCTGACTTTGTATGACTTTTGTCATGTATGTCGTGGCACTAAGATACATACACACACTTTGTCCTACACACACCCACATCATCACTCCCCCCCCACACACACGCACACAGAACCACACATTCCCACAATGTCCACAGCGCGTGACGTGCCCACAGCGAACATCTTCTGAAATTGTTTCGATTCTGTTTGCCACAATTAGACCAACGCGTGTCTTCGAGAAAGTCTCTCCAGAAATTCTGTGGGTTTCTGGCATTTAGCTTGACCTATAGTTCGAGAAAACAATTAACTGTATAATTTAATGGCAGTCTTTATTTTTTTATAATACCAACTTCCTGATATTAGGGATGTCAAATTCTTATTAAAAGATAATTGTGCCTTTATTGTTTGATCAGTGTCACGCTAAAGAAAGTTAAATCTAAAATATTTTTGTTAAAGCAGTCAAAAGTTTTTAATGCATATGTATATATATATATATATATATATATATATATATATATATATATATATATATATATATATATATATATATATATGGATGTATGTATGAATGTATGTATGTATGTATGTATATATACATATAATATGTATGAGTGTATGTAGCCCATATATAATCCATACATGTGTCTAACAACGATGCCACCCCACCTAGTTAGAAAGAACAAAGAATGACTTAACGAGACGGCCTTACAGAACAAAATTTAATTGGCCTAACTCAGTAAGGAGAGTAAGTGAACGATTACCGGCCCGCACCCACCCGCGGCCCGCACCCCCTCCACCACCTCCCTCCACGGGCCACTGAACTAATTATACGTCGTGCATAAGTGTGAGTGGTGCAAGAAGATGTGCTCCGTGTCTGCCCGTGCATCTTGTCAGTCATGCAAGTCACATCTCGTGTCTGGTGATGTTGCTGCATCAGCCGCATTGATTCGTCAAATTGTTCAAGTTAATGTCTTTGTTTATTGATAGTGGTTTCACTTCCTTGGCTTCTCGCCGTACGCATCACTCGCCAGTGTAAATATTGAAGGAGACGGTGATCTTGTTCACAGTTGTTTTTATGTTGTGCGTGTTTGTTGTGCGTGTTTGTTGTGCGTGTTTGTTGTGCGTGTTTGTTGTGCGTGTTTGTTCTAGCTTAGAATAAAGTTCTTCATGTTGTGTACATCAATGATGTAGGCATGTTTTATTGGGTGGGTGGGCATTTTCAATCCTACCAATATATATATATATATATATATATATATATATATATATATATATATATATATATATATATATATATATATATATATATATATATATATATATATATATATATATATAAGAGAGAGAGAGAGAGAGAGAGAGAGAGAGAGAGAGAGAGAGAGAGACATTCGTAATTTAAAAAAAAAAAAATTACTCCAGCTAGTAGTAGTTTGAGGGGTAAATTTTGGGGAATGGGGGAGGGGTTTAACCCGCCTAAACCTATGACCCCCCCCCCCCCCCCTCCCAACCAGCCGCCTATGCAACTGGTAATAGCTATATTTCGCTGAACATAGATGACTTTATTGTTCACCTAACATTGTTCACTTATATTTATATGACGTGGACATTTATCACGTGAAGGGGTGTGGGGGGAGGGGGGGTGGACTCGAAATTGTGACGTGGCAAACATGGTGTGTTGAATACAAAATGCATGTTCGTTCGTCACAAAATGTTTGGTGGTGGTTTTGAAGTGTTTGTGATGGTGTTTGACAAAGGTGGAGTTCTAATAAAATTTTCTCAAATGGCGTGATATGATTTTGATGAACGACGATTGTTGGTCTTTCAAGTTTTATGATTGATGAAACCATTTGATCTAGTTAAACATTGATCAACTACCATCCAACAAACCAGCTACCCATATATCGCCCATCATCCAACAAACCAGCTACCCATCTGTCACCTACATCCAACAAACCAACTACCCATCTGTCATCCATCATCC